GGATAACATTGTGGTTTTATTTTCCCCCCTTCCCTAACAGGAGGGCTTAGATGGAATTAGATCCACCTGGAGATAAGCACCTCCCTGGTTTCATATGAGTTGGAGGCTGAGGAGCTATTTCTCCTCTCTCCCACACTGACCTTTTGTTTTTGTGTAAGAAGGTGTACGTGGGCTGTGTAAGCTTAAATATCCCTTTCTCTCAGACCCTGCCACTTGCCATGCGCTGTACTCCTAGGAATGATTCCAAGAAAAACACATTGAGTACCTTAAAGAGGATTCCTCTGGCTGGAGCTGGGGTGGAGGAAGACAGGTGCAGATCACAGCCTTTTCTGCTCCCTGAGCTGTCTGAAACACTTCTGACTAGAGCCACATAGTGCCTTCGCCCAGGGATAGATCTGGGCAAAGCTGGACTGCCCCAGAGCACCACAGGGACAGAGCTGGAGATGGCACAGCAAGGCCAACAGAAGAGAAACAAATCTGGCTACAAATTCAATGGGTACTGCAATGATTAAATGGGCCTGAAATGGCTTAAGTGCTGTCTACAGCATCTAAGTAGGAAGACCTGTGGCCAGAGTGAAAGCTTCCCATTGCCCCTGTAGTAAACCTTGCTCCAAAAACATGAGGGTGCGCTGGAGACGCCTTGTGCCAGAGCAGCAGTTCAGGCTAGGACCTGCTTCTCAGCTGCCTTCAAGGATCTTCCCACTATTTGCCTTCCAGAGTAGGAGCTCTTAGACTGAGAAGGGGAAGGGGCTTGTGTCCCCACGCATGGCTGAAATTGCCCAGGCCTTATTTGAACCGGTTCCTGCTTTGCAGAAACAAAACATCCTCCTACAGGTCAGAGAAAACACCCAGCCTCCGCGCACTGAGCGCTGCGCAGGGACAGCCTGCGATCGTAAGGCTACAATAACTCCACTCAGGTAAGAAGAGGTGCCAGTCAGGCTACGTACCACGGAACAGGAGCTGAGCTGCAGGCCAGGGGGCAGAAGCCAGAACAGGAGCAGGCAGCAAGCCAAGGAGCCTGGCACAACACCTTCCTGCTTCAATCCTTCCCCAGTGCAGGCAGCTCCTGCAGGTGCTCCTTATATTGTCTGGTGAAGTTGTCTCTGCACCTGGGGCTGCCACAGCCCACGTGAGGGCAGTTGCTGGTGAGCAAACCTCAACAAGGTTCAGTTGGGAGACCCTGGGTCTAAACAGAGCGTGTTCTCCCTCTGACGCCGCAGCATCCAGCACAGGGCTCCCAGGTGCCTGCAGTGCAAATTCAGCCATGCTATGGTGAGCTTCCCTGATCTGCAAAGGTGACATCAGAGGGTGAAGCTGAGGTCCTCGGAGGCCATCTCCCCCGGCCCCACTGATGTGGGGTGTTGCTGGCAGGCTGGTGTGCTCCCAGTTGATCCAGGGGGATTTCTCTTCATGTTGCCAGGGCTGAGGGAGTAGTTGTCTGCTGAGGAAAGGCCAAGCCGAGGACCTCTGGGAAGGATCAATGTGGTTTTCTACCTCTTCTCTCCCTTTCCCATCGCTGTGCGTGACTTTTGTTGTCAACTGTTTCACGTCCTGGAGCCAGATCCCAGCAAGCAGCTGGCAGCGTTCTGCTGCCCCGAACGTGCGCCTGTGGGTGAGGAGAGTAGGAAGGAGTAGCGTGGTGGTTTGCCCGGCTCAAAGGCAGCATCCAGCCATTGCTTCCTCCTTCCCATAGCTAAACATGCCTGTTGGTAGCGCAGACTGGCGGGATTATGATCCCATTAACCTGAGCTCTCTAGACCAGTGGGTGAGGAACACTGGCCCCTGTCTGGCTTGAGCTCACAGCAGTTCCCAGGCCCTGTTCGTGGGCTCAAGCGGCTCACCTGTCGCTCAGTAAGGTAACCCTTGCTGTTCAGAGGACTCTGCTGCTTAATCCTCTTCTTCCTGGAGCCCGTTGAATGCAGTTGCTGTAACAGCCCTGGCAGGGACCAGAGCTGGAGTGCCGCTGGCTCTGGTTGTCATGGACTTACTCTCCCATTGTGAAACTGAGCTCGAGGGTGCAGGAATGAGGGGAAGGGGCACCGATCTGGCCGCTGCTGCTGGGTGAAGGGCTAGCTTGTGCCTGGAGTTGGCCTGCTGTGTCCACGGAGCGTCCTTGCCGATTGGTGTTAATGCCGAGTGCTTCTCGACGTCTCCAACACTGATCTCCTTTCCTGTTGCTCTGTGGCCCCTACAGCTTTGGAGCGACGAGGTGGAAAAAGTAAGTACCCAGCTGAAATTGTGCTCAAACCTTCTGGGCATGCTGGTGGTGTTTAGGGGGCGGGGGTGCTGTGTGCCTGCACACACGCAGGGGAGGATCAGTGGGATGTTGCTGTTGTCAGCCCCAGGCCTGATCCTGCAGCTGTAATGGTTCAGTGTGACTCTGACTGTAGCTTGGGAAGAGCCTGCCCCGTGGGCCAGTCGGCTGTACCTGGTGTGAGAGACTTCCTAGGCAAACCAGGCGTGCGTATGTGATAAAAAGACAACTGAGAGCCCTGCACTGGTGTCGCGGGAGCAGAGGTGATGGGCTGTGAAGTGATTCAGCTCTGCTCCTGCGGCAGAGGCCCTGCCTGCTCCACTTTTGCATGTGCCATGCATTAGCCTCTAGTAGCCCCTTGCCTGCTTGTTGTGGGGTCCGAGCAGGAGCTCTGAGCAGAGCTGAAGCAAGGACAGAGTGTTTCCGCACGAACAGCCCCAGCTGCTGGAGGGAACAGCTCTGTCGGGAGGGCAGGGTGGGAGGTTTGGAGCCTATCGTGGAGTTGACTCTGTCTGGGTGAGCTGCACTTCCCCTTCTGAGTGGATCCACGGAGACAAAGTCCCAGATCTTGTTTATTTTCTGGGCTCCACAAGGGGAGTGTGACTCATCCGTGAAGATGGATGGAGGGCTGCTAGTGGACGGGAGATCAAGGTGAGCTCTGTGTGGAGCTCCAGCATGGTATGGAGCTTCCAGAGACGCCTTCTGGGATCCCGTTGCCTTTCATACCTCAAACGCCCCCAGCAGACGTTAGCCTGAAGCCTGAACTGCAAGGTGGTAGAACGGCACGTTCCTGCATGCTGCGCATGATAGCAACCTGTTACTGCCTTACTCTAAATGCATCATCAGAGCAGACTGGCCGTTTTTGAACCAGCTCATCCTGTACTTTAAATCCTTCAGTCCCTCAAACAAATAAGCAGACTGCAGTCAGCTATAAGCATGCAAGGCTCTGTTCCTCTATCCTCTACCTTTGGTCAATCCTGCTTGGATAGACCAAAGTATGTCAGGGAACTTCAAAGTTCTCCGTGTCTTGGAGAAGCACAAGACTGGAAGGGACCTCCCAGGTCACGGTCCAGCGCTGGCTTTATGGGAAACCACATCCTGCAACTGCTCAGAGCTAGCAGGGAGAGGCAATGGGTCAAATCCCAGGCAGTGCCAAATGGAGCTGGGTCTGCCTGTCACAAGTTTCAAATAGCTCTGCTGCTACTGGAGTCTCTGCTCAGCTCCCTGGAACAAGAATCTCTCGGTGCTTAGTAAGGCTCTGTACTGGTATTTCCTGTTACATTCCTCCTTCCCCTTTAAATAATCCCTTTCATACAGAGGATGCAAGAAAATAGATCAGTTGTAGCTTAAAATAGACAAATTTGATTAAAAGACAGTCAAAGCATTTCTTTGTTCTAGCCTAGCTGTACAGCAGTACTGGTAACGCTGTTGCCAGATGAGAGATGTAGTGGCCCGCAGCAGCGCCTCCAGCCTGCCCTGCTGAGCAGGCTGGGTCTCCGCTGGGGTGACCCTGCTCAGGAACGTCAGCGATGGGGCCTCTGCTCTGAGACTATCAGCCTGTCTGGATTAGCTCTCCGGGGTCAAGTCCTGGGCCAGACTGATCGGGGCATTTCCAAAGCAGCAAAAGGAGCTCTGTCACAGAACTGGTGCCGTTCAGGAACCACGGCACCGAGGCAGGCAGCCCTCCGATTGCTGCACCCCCCTGGAGAAGGGGAGAAGGACACAGAACCCGTACTCCTTCCAACAAGCTCTAGCTGAGTGGACATCACTCTTCTGTGCCATCCTAAGAGGGAACTGGCGCGTTCTGCTTGGCGTTAAGGAGTAAAGCATGCCAGAGAGAACAAAAGTGCCTGTTTGCCACCCCTTTCCCTCTGGCAGCGGGGAGGGGAGAGCAGGCACCAGAGCACCTGACTGTTCCAACACTTCTGGAGCTCTTCTCTTTGCAATGATCCACCTGGGTATTCTGGTACTGCAAAACTGCCCTAGTGTTTGTTGGGGTGGGGGGAGAAGTGTTCCGTCTGTTCGGTAAAGAGGGTCTCCAGTATCAATCTGTCTCTGAATTCCCAATGTCTGCTGCATAGCTGCCTTCTGTTAACCATTGTTGAATTCCTCCGAGCTCAGAATAAATAACTAGCTCCAAAGGAGAGCCTTGGGTAGAAGTTGGTTTGGGATGTTCGTCTCCATTGCGGAGAGATGTAGTTAGTAACAGCAATTTAGTAAATGCTCCCTGGCCTCAGCCTTTGTTCTGTGGTAATAAAAAGGATACCAGCAAAAGTTGTGCTTTTGGAGAGACGGTTAGGGAGGTTGTCACGTTCCGACGCCTATAGGCTTAGAGGGGGGGAGGTTAAAAGGACAGGTGCTGGCATGGGACTGGCTTTCCACATACCTCAGGCTTAACAAAGCCTCTCCATCTTCACGTTCTAGTCTTGTGGGAGTAGGAGCTTCCTAGCTTGATGCATCAGTCTTGAGCTGCCATTCCATGACCTGCAGTGATCCAGTGTAGGATCAAGCAGGAATCAAGCCGAAATACAGCCAGAGGCCTCTGGGATCCTCACCCAGGGTGTCTTGTGCCTGATGCTCAGTGTCACTGGTGCACGTGGCTCCTACTGAGCCAACAAACAGCACACTTGTCTCAGTGCCAGAAGGGGGGGTGGTGGTGGAGGAGGTGGGTGTTGCCTCTCCCTGGAAGAGGCACAAGAGCGGTCCTTGCCTTGTGCTGTCTTGAACACCCCGTCCTGTTTTGCAGGCAGAACAGGAGCTGAGGCTCACGCAGACTGAGTTTGATCGACAGGCAGAGGTGACACGTCTCCTGCTGGAGGGGATCAGCAGCACGCATGTGAGTCTTCCTGGGTAACTGAAGGGGTGACAGGGACTACGGAGACTCTTGGCCCTTTTCTAAAAGAATGCCAAGAGGATGGCGGAGCCCCACACTGGGAGTAGAGGTAGAAGAGGTCATAAATTTGGATGCTGGAATGCTCAAACTAAAAACATAATGAAGCATGCACAGGCAGGGCCACTGTGACACCCGCAGTTCTGCCGTCCTCGAGATGCTTCCGAGCCAGAAAAACCTTGTTATTCTCTCACTAGAGCTGTGGACTAGCCACATGGGCATGGCTAGAGTGCCAGGAGCAGCCTCCTCTCTCAGATCACCCTTGGGCCTATGCAACATTCCCAAACTTAACAAATTAGTGTATTCAAGCCAACCAAGTAACTCTCTTAAATACTGGCCTGCACGAGTCTGCTTCCCGTGGGGGTAGGTAGCAGCTGCAGGAAGAGGGTTCCTGTGCCTGGCACCCAAACTCACAGACCAGCTTATGGTACTTCTCCCTCCAGGTGAATCACCTTCGCTGTCTCCACGAGTTTGTGGAGTCCCAGACCAACTACTATGCTCAGTGTTACCAATACATGCTGGACCTGCAGAAGCAACTGGGCAGGTGAGACGAGACTGCTTTTACTTCTCTCAGGGTTACTCAGCTGGCTACCCCTAGCTCAGGCCTCCTTTCCCCATCCCGCGTCATAACGTTGGGTAGAAGTTTTAAAGCCCCCTCCAAGCTCTGACACAGCTTCTGAGCTTACAGAATGATGACCAATCCCGGTGGGATTGCATTTAGAGCAGGCTTTGCCATTGGATTCATCTGGGTTTTATACATTCATCTCAAAGCACGATGGCCGTGAGAGTTCGAACATTCTTCCTCTACATTAGTTATATCACATGGGAGACAAATTCCTGTTGCCAAGCAGCAAGGCTGAGAGTGCTTAGCTGCAGCAGTAACTAATTCTGTGCTGCTGGCTGCACATCCCGTGGGCACGGGCAGGGCTGTTTTGTCTGTCAACCTGTCGCATCAGTGCGGTGGCCTGACCCAGGAGGGGCTGTTGTCTTTGCGTGATCACTCACTCCTCCTGTTCCATTCTTTTCCATGCTTGCAGCTCCAAAGGAGAAATGTAAGTAGGATGTTGCACAGGACTTGGCTCTAAGAGCTCTCCACCTCAGCCAAACTCTGGAGTCTCTGCAAGGGCCAGAGCTGTACTCCCTTAGGACAGAGGGGGGGTTCCTACAGATAAACGAGACAGAGCTCCATTACTCTCTCTATCTAGAGAGCCCAGAAAGCCTGGGAGCCTCCAGTTGTGGCATCCAGTTTAACAGCAACAATGACTGTCCCTTTCCTGAAGAACTAGCAGGCTAAACAGAACACGGACCATGCGAGAGCAGGGCAAGGACACAGCACAACGGACCCAGCGAAACAGCAGCAGAGCCAAGAACAGCACCTGCCCAGACCCCCCTCTGGTGCCACGCTTCAGGCTCGTACTCTGCAAGTTAGGTGCCAGTCCTGTAACAGGACACTGGAATCAAAATAAGCAGACAAGTATTACCTGTTGCATAGTCTCGGCACCCGAGAACCGAGTGCATTTCCCCCCTCAAAGGGCAGCGTAGGTATGTTACAGCTGTTAGCTGGAACCCTTGAGCATCATCTCTGCAGTGTAACTACTGAAAGAAAGAGCTCTTTCTTGGTTCCTCATACTAGAGCCTTACTGAACTCTGCTTTTTTCTCCTGCGCAAGATTTTCAGGCACATTCGTAGGCAACGCAGAATCCACATCTCCTCCCCCAGCTGCTACCTCTCTTCCAGCTGTCGCTGCTGCCACGCTCCCTGCTGTGCCTACTATTCCAGTTGTGCCCACGATTGTTGGGGTGCCTAACACCGTGGCAGAGAGTGTCCTGAACCCAAATGAAGTCAAGCCTCCTGCCAGTGGGACACGGAAGGCCAGAGTCCTCTATGATTATGAAGCAGCTGACAGCACCGAGCTGGCACTTCTTGCAGATGAGGTTGGTAGCTTTCCTTTGCGTTGAACTTTGCTTTAACTGCCTAGCAGCCCACTGCATGCTCAGCAAGGTCTTGGTTACTTTTCCTGCCCCTAAAAACCCTGTTTTATGGAACTGCTAGTAGAGTCTTTTCCTTGACACCGGTATCCGCTGGGTTGCAGTGAGCTTGTGCTCATGGCCGTTTGCTATTTAAGACCATCACCCCAGTAACTCTTCTATTCCTATTGGAGTCTAGTTGTACCCAGCTAACAAAATACCCCAATACTTAGCATCTTCACTGTGACCCTCAAATATAGCTACCTTATCTGAGAGCAATGGGGTAAGCTACTGGCTGGAGGCCTGGTCTAATCATGCTGAGAAAAAAGGAAATTCAGCAAGTTTCCAACTCTTCCGTTGACTAGACGGAACTTTTGTTTTCAGAAGGGGTGACACAGCAGTATCACGCCACCCTGTATGTGAAAATACCTTAAGTCATTTTGGAGAATGAAAAGGCAACAGGGACATCACTGGGCAGATTTCCGTAGATCTCCTATTAAAGCTGCAGATGGCTCCAGGGAAAGGGCACAGATGCCTGCTAAATGAACTTCAGGAATTAATTGTTCTTTCAGTACCCATCTGACCGAACTTCTTGGCGCTGTCTGCAGAATAAGGTCCTGTCTAATGCCCTCTTCTCTCCCCAGATGATCACTGTGTACAGCCTGCCAGGCATGGATCCAGACTGGCTCATAGGGGAAAGAGGGAACCAGAAAGGGAAAGTTCCTGTCACTTACTTGGAACTGTTAAGTTAAATGTCTCCAGGAAGAAGAATGTACAAGCAGAACGCACCCCTCATCTGGCACTTCTAATGCGGATTTCTTCATCCGAGACCATTGCTCTCTTCAGGGTTGACACTCCATTGCTAATACGGGAATTGTGGGAAAGATGTGGTAAAACTGTTACAGTAAGGCTTTGGAAAGGGCTGATGGCACCCCAGGCTGAATTCGTTAACTACCAGTGCAGCCTGCTTTGAGGTTAGTCTTGATGGCGCAAGATTCCCTCATTACTTTTTCTACCCTACCGTAGTCTTGTTTATCGCAGTGGCTTCCCCAGGGCCAGCAAGCTGTCTCCCTCAGCAGCTGCTCACGGAGTTTAAGTTACACTTCCCTTGTGTCTGGTGTGCGTTAGTGCCTGTCTGCCCCTCCCGTCCTCTCCGTTCTTCAGCAGTAGAATTGCCCAAATCAAACCATCGAGCATTCCAGTGGGGAAGCGTCCCACACAAACCCTCTGACATGTTCTAGCTCTTAAGGCAAGGAAGCTGAATCTAAGAATTAACAGCCTGTTAACCCGTCCACCTTGCTCACCTGTGGGAGAACAGTAATGCAGGGCTCTCTAAGAGCCACGCTTACTATCGTGGTGCCCGATGGCTTCAATCTAGAACCGTCCCCTGAAGCTGGAAGGAAATGTCTTTGTGAAGACCAACCTAATAACGTAGGGCCTGTATGTCAAAAACCAAACCTCAGTGCAAGGGACCATGCATCTTGCTTGCATTTCCTCTGAGAAACTGCTCTTGGACTGCAAAGAGTTTACAAGCCTTTTTACAAGCTTTGCTCCCGGTGTTAATTGTCCAGGCTTTTCTTTCAGTGCGTCTGTTCCAGGCATGTTTTAGCCTGACTTTATTTTCACCCTAGATCACTGATTTAACTAATATTTCCCCTCCCATCTCAGCAAGTGAACAGACTTGGTGCATCCTAGTACAGTAAGGGGTAGTCCCACTTGCCGTTATCGCCGAGAATGAGCAATTCCTGGCCATACACACACTAAACAATCCAGGCTGCCCTTGATGTACGTGGTGGTTTAGCTCGAAGGGAGTGCTCAGGTGTGTATGCCTTTTAATCCTATAATGAGCTTTTTAGCTAGAGCTCGCCTAAAGGACTTCTGCTGCTGTGTAACTAGTTTTCACTCAAGCTGGATGGAAGAGACTCACCTGCACCAAGCTCTCTGTTCACTACCCTTCCCCTCGGTATGTCAAAACTAACTTTGCTCGTTTGTTGATCTTTTTGCACTTTCCCCAATGGTGTCGTGACCACTCTAATGTAACAGGGCACTGAGCACCTGTGTATGTAGGGCTCATGGTTTTCAGCACTTATTTGCCAATAAACAAACTGCCTGACCTCCTGCCTCAGCGTCTTGTGTGGGTTCAGGGCTGCTCTTGCTCTCCAGCCATGCGACTGCAGGCCGTAGGGACAAGCAGCGCCGGCAGGGAGGCAGCTCAGGTATCCCTTCTGCTATCCCAGTCTTGGAAGCCAGGTGGAAAAGCAAAACAAAGCTGTTAATCCTTCCTGTCGCAGCTGAAACCCTCAACATGCCTTAAGGTTGTTAATGTCTTGCAGTTCCTTTCCCAGATGACACATCTCAGTTGTACTACAGATTCAGGAACTCTAAGAAACAACAGCTCCTCCTTAACCTGAAGCAAAAATAGAGCAGCAGTATGACTTCAGCTGCTGAGAGACTGGAAATGCTATTCTAGATCTAACAGACTCCTTTTCGTTGTTATGGAAACTAGATCTGCTGCTAATTTAAAATCCTAAAGCCTTGTCCCTAGCACCCAGCTTGGAAAGAACTCCTGGGAAAAGCAGCTGTTGAAATGCTCTGTAGTGGAGCAATAGCGCTCAGTTTTTCTACAGTTAAACTCTAACGGAAGGGAATGGGGAAATCCCATCCTGCTACGGTTTTAGTTAGTCTTACAGTTGCCGTGATTACCACTACCACAGTTCTACGCTTTTGTAGATCTACCCCTGCCTATTTCCCTTCCAGCTTCCAGTATGCATACCTTTCCCTCAGGCCAGGAACATCCCTGCTTCCCTGTTATTCCTCTCCCTGGTACATTAAAGGAAGAGGAAGAACGGCTTTGGCAAAAACAGCAGCAGCTTAATGATGCAGAAAACAGTGTCTCTTCCCTCAGAAAAGCCAGAAGGAAGTCTGTTCCTGGCAGCAGCGCTCCCTTCCCTCTGCGTTAGAAAAGAGCACGTGGAAAATCTAGCGCTACTTCTAGAAAGATTACACTCTCGTGCTGCTTATTTGCAGGTGCCACGGTGAGCCACCCTTGGCTGAAAGCTGTTCTGTGCCCCTTTGTGGCTGCGGGGCAGGTAAAGGTACAACTCGGGGCTGAAATGCTGCTGTTTAAAGTGAAGCTATAGCTCTAAAACACAGATGTAACCAACAGCATCCACTATTCTTTGCTGTCTGGCACCAAGGACTCCTGCCTAGCACTGTAAACTCTCACTCTACTGCTTGAATAAATATCTAAAAGAACGTATTACTTCTCCCTAAATTCTCATTCCAGCCATTCTTGCTGAACGCTAACAGATTAGCACACTGCATGTACCTTCAAAAGCTGTAGCAAAAGGGAAGACACCCACAAGAGCTATCAAATAACAGCCCTAAGCACTACTGTACTTGCTTAGATGTACTGAATTCTGGCTTTACTTCCACTCCCCATAGCTACCCGTCACCAATTTGCTCAGTTCTTCACCTTCAAATCTCCACGTTCGCACTCGTAGTTCCCTGTGGCAGAAAGTGTTCACGGTTACAGGTAGCCCCATCTAAACACGATCGGGTTTAGGACTGTCACACCACCTCCCTCACTGTCAGAGCAGCTCACCTGAGCTTTCGGAAGGTAATCAAGCCCCTCTCCCTTCTACTTGAAGACCACTTCGCTCCAGCCAGCTAGTTCAAAGCCCTCCAAAGCCTCCAGGGCAGCTAAAACTAGGTCAAACAAGTGTGCTAGAATATCACCGTCACTTAAGCTTACAAGGGAAAAAAAAAACCAAAACACAACTCAAAGCAACATACTCTAATTTTCTCACTGTAGACTCTTAAAACCATTGAGACTAAAAAGGTTCTGACTGGTAAAGCAATCAAATGTCTCTTTAGGAAAGAATTGGTAGGTTACTAGCTCACAGCTACACTGAAATTTGATTTCTTACCTTAGAAAAGTCTGTCTAGATTTCAGGCTTTATTTTAAGCAATAATCACTGCCCTTCTCTTACTGTCGCCATCACACACTGAGCCTTGGAACCTCAAAGAGTTTGTTGATCTACTTGAGAGCGCTACAGCAGCACAATGCAACTTCACCGTAGACAGTGTCTTTCTTCTAGCTTGAACCCGCAGCCTTCCCCTGCTGCTGCAACAGGCAGAGTAGCAGCTTGGACCTGTGCACAGAGTAATCCGTGCGCATGGTCCACACCATCGTGTGCAGAGGAATCATTCCTGAGGAGTATTTTATAGTGATGTTCGTTTAAAACCTCCTACAAATTCCCCAACATGAGAGTAAGAGAGAGAGAGAGTGGGTGTGGGAGAGCCGAGGGAATCAACCTTTGCTTATAATCGCTTCAAACGGTATCTGGATCGTCGCTCGCAAGCCACAGCTCGCGTCACTGTTAGCTAGGACTTCAGCCCAGTTGATGCAGCAGAACTACTACACAGAAAAGATGCAGAATTGGTGCTGCAGGCTGCTATGCCCAACACAAAACCACGAACCCAGCTGCTGTCTATAAAGGTTTTAATATCAGTATAAATAGGGCACAGTTACAAAAATCTGCAAGACTGGAGCAATGGAATTTTGACTTAAAAACCTTGAGTGAGGCCTTGCTCTTCAGAAACACACACAACACACAGACTGCAGGGTGAAGGGAAGGCGTGAGCACACATACACCATCTTGCCTTGAACCATTCAGTACAAAAATAGCAGTAGAAAGATGGTCTCTGAATTGCTGGCTGATCCCTTGGTTGTGCCTTAACTGGGCTCTGACTGCGAGGGAGAGGCAGGTTGCACCTTGTGTTAAGAGCAGAGTTAATGCCCAGCAGAAAGTTTGTCTCCTCTCTCCATCCAGCCACAGCTTCCCCAGCTGAGGTACAAGCTATAAAAATAAAGGTTTTGACTGTTCAGCACTTGTACCCAGCCAGGATGCTCTAGCAGGTGGAGCGGGCAGGCTGTGCACGTGGGCTCATCGCTGAAGAGCCGCTCTCGGCTCTCCTTACATTCACTCCGCTACTGGGTTGCAAGAGTTCAACGGGATCTCGCTGTTGATGTTACAGCTCGGTTTACACCACTGCCCACACCAGGCCTCCCTCCCTTTCCCACTCCTTGTTACGAGCTCTGCCAAAAGTGATGCCTTCTGTGGTGGACGTGAATCGTTCTGCTGCAAGTCCTGAAAAGGGAGGCAGGGGCAGGATAGAATCTATCTCTGCACGTGCCGGACAAAGGCCTGCACGAGCTGAAACAAAGGCTCCTGCGCCTCAGGACCCAGCTTGGAGGCAGACTTCCCTTGGGGAGAGGGAAGAACCCCACTGGCGGGTGAAGAGGGACCCCCGCGGCGGAAGTAACGAGACAGGCTGGAGAGCAGCGTACTCTGAAATTAGAAGCATGTGACAAGTTAGCTTCTTTCAAACACACGCCCCTCTCCCTCCCCAAACAAGGTGCCAGTGGCACAGGAACAGGCACCAGGAGGTGCAGCCCAAGACGCGTAAGGCTGTTGACTCATGCTGGGGAACGGGCTCTACTGGGCAGCCAAAGACAAATGACCTTCTCCCACAAGACACATTTATACTGAACAGCGAGAAAGGATGGTACAAGCTGCTTACCAGCTCAGAGCTGAGCTCCTGTTTCATCCGCTGCTTATCGCGGGGATGCACAGCTGGGTCTCTCAAGTACCGAACAGCCTGGGAGATGAGCAGGTAGAAACAGTTTTCCATTGTAAACATGAGAAGAGACCTGTGCAAAAGAAACGCACATCAGCAGGAGCCAAAAAGGTCAGCAGGAGCCAAAAAGGTCAGCACGCTCTAGTTTCAAGGTCAAACACTCTTAGAAAGACTTCACTCACAGGGTGCATACGAGGGAACACTGTTACTGATCACAGTATCTCCAGCAGCGATACCCAAAAGCTATGGTCTGCAGAGCAGAAACCCCTGTGGGCCATCAGGGAAGTCTGATTTAAATATACTGGTAAGTAAGCATCAAACAACTCTCTACACTGCATCTTAGGATGGGATGGCTTCACACACCCTCCCAAAAAAATCCGATTGCTTTGGAGAGCTTCTGATGGGCTATCTGAACTCCCTGGATTCAGACTGAGCAGCTCTGAGGCTACGTGAATGCCTGTAAACCTCAGTTCTGATCTGAGGAGCATTAGGTTCTGCCCCTTGGCCATGACTAAATCAAACAGCTAGAAACTTACTTGAGGGTTTTGGTTCCCTCTTGCATATTCAGCCCTGCAGCCTGAGGGAAAGGTTCCTTCTTCTTATCCAGCTGAGAGGGGAAAAAAAGGCAGGCATTAGAGACAGGAGATACAAAAGAGGAAATACTCCTAGTCTTCAAAATATCAGTTGAATGAGTGCTCTGAGATCACTGCAACTGCTGTGCTCTCCCAGAGAAATGGCTAGTACCTCTCCCAACATGTTAAGGGCCACGTTGACTGTGGCAAGGAGGGTCCCGAAGGAAGGTGCGACATCTGAATCAAAGGCTGGTGTGGTGAAACTCAAAACGAAGAGCACGTTGTACTCAGCAAGGTCCAGTGACTGTGGAGAAACAGAAAGAGGAGTGAGTGACCCCTGAGGCCATGAGTATGCTATTGTCATAGTAACAGGAATACCTAGTCCCTATATCACACTTTTTGTATGGAGAACTAGAAGCACCGAGATCATTTCCCAAGTCTCAACTATACAGATGGAGCAGTAGAGAGCGTTCTGTACAGTACTGCACGATCAGACTACTACATGGCTCCCTTCGCATATATGAACCTTCTCCAACTCCCAAGCCGTACAGCTTGCCACCAAGTGGCAAGCTAAAGTAATGACTGTTTCCAGACTGTTTTCAAAAGCCCAGGCATACGTACCTAGAGGCACAGGAAAAGGAAGTTAACTGTCCAAAAGCTAGCAGCAGGACACTGCCAGAATCAAGGATTAAACCTTCCTTTTCTGAACGTGGAGACCAGCCACTAGGTCACACCGACGCAGGATGATAACAAGAGGATGTCTTTTCTGAAGAGTGACATACTGAGGATACAAACCTAGCTGGGTTCTTAGTCTGCTCCAGTAAGGTTACACGAACACAGCGTCGTGCAGATCACGCAAAAGCCCAGCCAAGCCTTCCTTTCACATTGATCGGTGCCTG